TGATTGGCTGGATCCGCCTTTCGGCCATGAATGATTTAGCCTGATTAGGGGCCAGGTTGACATCTGGGCGAGAAGCAGATTGCGCTCCGACACTAGAATGCTCCAGAAAAAGTTCATTTGGAAGATCAATGCGGCAAACTGGATCCTGACAAGTATGACCACAACCAGATAAACTGCAGTCGCCTCTGCTATTTAAGTTACCGGACAAGCAGGCAGGATGTAGGCTAGATGAAGTGTCCACCAACTGCTGGGCAAGCATTAAAGAGTGGCGCCTCCTTCGCTGCGGAGAAGCAGTCAGGCGAGGGCGCCAAGCGCCTGTAGAAGGCTGTGGTGTGGATGCCAAAGATGCTGATCCAACGCAACAGCTATCAAAGCAAGTGGAGACAGTTGTTGCAGCTGCCACAGTAAAAGGAGAAAGCCAGGTGCAAGCCTTTTGAAAACTTGTCAGGGTGCAATGAGGTCCGGCATTAGAACATGATTCCGAGGCTAGCTGGGATTGTGGGTCCGACCCTGGGACTATAGAAATGGATTCAGGACCCAAGCGTAGTGCGGACGATGACGAAGATGAAGAGAGGCCAGAGCTGACGATGCTTTTTGGATGGCAAGAAGCGAGGAACGATGAGGAAGAAGATGAGAAAGATGATGATACACTGCTATTTCTGTTGCTGTAAGTCCTGACATCAGTGCTAGCACTAGTGCCAGAACCAGCAGTTATGGTGGAGGCTGAGAGAAGGCTGGCTGATAGCGATCGAGTGAACACACCACTGGTTGCTGTGGCCAGATGACTTTGCTCGACAACTTCATTGACAATCGGCTGGACAGAGTTGCTTTCACCTGAATTAAAATAGTAGAGTTCAGCTGTAATAGGAGAAAAACAGATTACATTGGAGTAAAGGGGATGCAAAACAGAAAAATAAAGCTTGTATCCTTCAGAAATGATAAATTGTTGTATAACAAGGTAAAACACCTACGCTTTTTACCACTCACAGAAAAATGAAGGAAAGAAAAATAACCTCTCAGGTCCTTGCATGATTTGCCATTAGATTAATTGTGATATAAGTATGTCGAGGCCGAAATCTAAAAAATCTTTTTGAAAAATTATATGCAAACAAACCGGCCTACACTCTTTGTTTAAGTATTCGCAAAAAGCCACAGCTAAATATGAAGTCTAAGACAAAAAGACATGAAGGCAAAACATACATGATTTGAACAAAATACTTATTATATGACGTATATTTCACAAATATAATGCCATCATCCTTTATTATTTTTATGACAGTACGACCGCCCTCTTGTTCGCGTAAGGGTTTGGTCAATAGCCACTATTCCTGTTTGATCGTAGATCGGTTGAACAGCAAATT